GTAAGTAACCTTTCTGCCCTTTTGTCTCTTTTGTTCTTGAACTTCTGAGAGTCAAACATATGTTCTTTTGATGCTATTCCATAAATCCCACAAGTCTTTTCATTCTTTTTTTCTCCACTGACTATTTTCAAATTGTCTTTGAGCTCAGATTCTTCTGCTTGATCACTTCTGTTGTTGCTGTTCTCTATTGCATTTTTATGTCATTAACTGTATTAATTTCAGAATTTTTACAATTTATGTTAAATTTCTGATCATTTATTTTCCTGATTTAATCAAATTGTTTCTCTAGTTTTTGTTTGTGTTTTGAGATGGAGTCTCGCTCTTGTTGCCTAGGCTGGAGTGCAGTGGCACAATATCAGCTCACTGCAACCTCTGCCTCTCAGGTTCAAGTGATTCTCTTGCCTCAGCCTACTGAGTAGCTGGGACTACAGGTGCATGCGACCATGCTTGTCTAATTTTTTGTATTTTTTAGTAGAGACAGGGTTTTGCCATGTTAGCCAGAATAGTCTTGATCTCCTGACCTCATGACCCACCTGCCTCAGCCTCCCAAAGTGCTGGGGTTACAGGCCTGAGCCACAGCACTCAGCTGTTCTTTTTTCTTAAATAAGAAAATTTAATTTGCTGAGCTTCCTTCAAATAATTATATTGAATTGTCAGACAGCTCATACATCACCCAAATCGGCTAAATTTCCTTAGGGTCAATTACTAGTGCTTTTTTTTTTTTCCTTTTTGGAGGGTCATATTTCCCTGATTGTACTTTTATTTTTCCTTTTTCTTTTTTAAAAGAAGGGGATAGAGAAAGGGAAGGGTCTCCCTGATTGTTCTTGATTCTTGTGGTGTGTTAATGTCTGGGCATTTGAAGAAATAGGGTATAAGTATTCCAGTCTGCTAACTGGCTTTATCTGGGAAAGCTTCACCAGTCAGCCTGTCCAGAGATTCTGGGGAGGCCATTTGGTGTGCGTGCTCTGCAGCGGGGCTTGCTGCTGGAGTCCTCAGCTAGGCTGGCCTGGTACTGCATCAGCAGAAGGGCAGAGCTGGTGCTTGGGTCTGTAGAATGGGGCCTGAAGCTTGGCTCTACTGCAGTGGACCTGTTGATTTGGTACATAGGGGTAACCCTGGAACCTGGGTTCTTGAAGATAAACCTGCAACCTGTATCTTCATGGGTTGGACTGAAGCCTGGGTCCATGGGGGCTTACATGGGCAGGCCCAGGGCTGTGCACAGTGTGCCAGGGTAGACCTGGGCAGACCTTGGCACCATCTCAGCCCCTGTAGACTGAGGTGGGGCCTGAGGCCAGGGGTGCTGACCTGGCTCGGGGCTGATCTAGAACCCAGGGCAGGCCTGAGGCTGTGTATCTGCAGGCTTGGCGAAGGCCTGGAACCCCACACTGTGGGACCTGGTCTGAAACTGGGGTGAGCCTGGACCACTGAGGTTGGTCTGGGGGCGAAGTGAAGAGACCATGTCTGGTGTGCTGGCCTGCGGCTATGGAATCCAACCTCATGGTGGGGTTGACTCTGAGTTAGTGGCCTGGTCTAGGGTGATGGGGGCCTGCCTAGCCCTGAGTTTTACCCAGGTGAGCTGGTGTTGGGGATGGAGGCAAAATCCAGTGTTCACTTTGTTCTCTTTCCCGAGTGGAGGGTATCTCTGTTCACACTGTGGTGCTTGGGGTTAGGGAAGAGGTAATGAAAACAATGTAACACTGTCCTTCCTGCCTCTTCAATGCATCCTCTGTTTCCTTGCTACACCCATGTGCCGCGATCTCATACTTGGTTTCTTTAGCTCTTGTGAAGGGATTTTTGTTCCGGGATAGCTATTCAAACTCATGTTTCTGCAGAGTCACGCGCTGGAGAGTCCTATTCTGCCATCTTGCTGGGGTTACTCCCACCGATTTCTCTCCCTCAAGTTGTGCCTCTTCACCCGACCAGCTTAAGTCCCTTGGTTCATCATGTATTGCACACCAGTCAATCCAGGCTAAATCCAACCCTGCTGAGTATGGCTGGAACTGAACATACAACCCTGATAATTGATGTTATGTTAAACTCATGCCCACTAACCTCGTGGGCTTTTAGTGTATCATGTATTTCCTTATTTTTTTTCACTCTCCTCTATCCCCTAAACCTCTCTTGTCACCTCCACCATCCTCACTTTCAGCTAATAACCATGTTTTCAATTTAACAGAACAAATAATCAGACAAGAACATTCACGAGCTCTTGCATCTTCTCTGCCCACACTGACTTCCTCCTGGTTGGTGCTCGTGTCTGCCTTCTTCACTAGCACCCTGAATCCCAGTGTCTTCTCTGCTCAGACCCTACTCTAGTGCACCCTCCTTCTCTCCTGCAGTGTCAACTTTTCTCTCTACTTGTCATTCCTGTGAGTACATAAATTTACCCTAGAATTTCTGATATTTTAAAACACCACAACCCTCAGAAGCCCACATCTCTTCCGTTACCCATCCATTTGTCTGTGTTGAGAGACAATTCTCCATGGGTTTCTCACATTTCTGCCTATCTTACAAGTACAGATGGTGATGGCTTTTGTTACAGGCTGTTTTCAGGATGAATGGCCTTCGATAGGTAATTCGCTCTCCAGATCAGTGGTTTGTTAAGCATCCAGTATGTCTTCCATCCAGATGGAGGTTTGGTAGATGGACTCGTAGACCAGTTTGATTTGGGGTCCCTGAACTTGGAGCTCCTCTCCTTTAACTCCACCCAGCGAATATGTATTCAAGGTCAGTAGTGTGTTTTCTGCCAGCATCTGTGAAACGGGTCCGTTAACTTGTTACCTTGCAAGTAGGGCAAAATCTCAGACTTTTCAGTCCTTAACACTTTGCCCATTATTCATAGTTCATTTCCAGTGTGATCTTGAATCCTAGATTTGCCCTGCCCACCACTCCTTTGTAACTGTTCTTATCAAGATAACCTCACTGATGGTTAATCTCAGCCCTCTGAGTCCATTTTCCATCCTTCTACCCTGCTATATCCCAGCAAGATGGTAGCCCCCAGGTTCTGATCAGGTTTAGTCAATGGAAGCATCTGCAGGAGACTGAGCAACAAAGGGCTGCCGCTCCCAGCACCCTGCGCCCCACCCCCACCCCCCGCCCTTTCCAGTGTTAGTTCTGTGTTTCTCACAGTAGCTGCATCTTCATAGAGTTTCAACATCCACTTACTGAAGAGACTGTTTTTGTCAGGTGCAGTGGCTCACGCCTGTAATCCCAGCACTTTGGGAGGTTGAGGTGGACAGATAACAAGGTCAGGAGTTCAAGACCAGCCTGACCAATATGCTGAAACCCCCTCTCTATTAAAAATATAAAAACTAGCTGGGCATGGTGGCACATGCCTGTAATCCCAGCTACTCAGGAAGTTGAGGCAGGAGAATCACTTGAACCCAGGAGGTGGAGGTTGCAGTGAGCTGAGATCGCATCACTGCACTCCAGCCTGGGCAACCGAGCAAGACTCTGTCTTAATTAAAAACAAAAACAACTTTAAAAAAAAATATTCTATTTTTTCTATCTCCTACAGCAGACAGACCTTCTTCCACGTTTTAGCTCTCACTGGGCTCTCAAACACCATCTCTTCCCTTTATCCCTGGGAGACAACAGGTTCCTGGTACTGCTGTCTCCAGATACCTTACCATCCGTTGTTTGTTCCCTTAATCCTTCTCTCATTCTCCTAGTCATCCTTTCATATGGGCCTAATTCAGTTTACTATTAGAGCCCTCACTGATACAGCTGGTGAGGTCCACAGGTTAAAAATGGAAGGAATTCTATTCACTAGGCCCATAAAATCCTATACAAAGACACACGTATATAAGGTTTTTATTTAACAATTTGCTACACACACTCTCACACTTTGTCTCACGCACTATCACTCACACACTATCACACACACTGTCAAACTCAGTCACACATTCTCACACTCCCTCACACTTAGTCTCACTTTCTCTTACACACACACACATTCTCACTTTCTCATGCACTTTCACACTCATACTCACTCGCTCACTTCCTTTCACTCGCTCAATCACTAACACTACCTCACACTCCCCCTCGCTCACTTTCACACACACTAACACATTCCCTCACAATCACACACGCTCACACATACTCCGTCACACTATCACTCACACTCACACACGTCTCACACTTCAGTCTCACACATGTATGTCACACTCAGACTCAATCACATTCTCATTTTCACACATGCTCACACTCACACTCACACCCTGTCACACTACCTCAGTCACTTTCTCCCACTTTCTCATACACTCCCTTTCACACACACACTTGCTCATTGTCACATTCACTCAGTCTCATGTCTCCGTCTTTCACTCACACTCCCTTTCACTCTTGCTCACTCACACTTCCATTCTGTTGCTCTCATTACCTGTCTCACACTTTCCCTCACTCACTTACTCTCCCACTTTCACACTCACTTTCAGTCTCAGTCACTGTCACACTTTCACACACATACCCAGTCTCACTTTCCCTCACACTCACTCTTACTCTCCCACTTTCACTCACTTTGTCTCAGTCACACTTACACACACACACCCACTCAGTCTCACACTTTCCCTCACTCTCCCACTTTCACACTCACTTTGTCTGTCAGTCACACTTTCACACACACCCACTCAGTCTCACACTTTCCCTCACACTCTCCCACTTTCACACTTTCAGTCTCTCACTGTCAGTTTCACACACACACACCCACTCAGTCTCACCTTCACTCACACTCAGTCTCACCCTGTCTCTCATACTCTCATAGTCTCACTTTCACTCAGTCTCACTGTCACTCACACTCAATCTCACACACACTGTCACTGTCTCACACTTTCTCACACTGTCTCACACACTTTCTCAGACACACACTCCCTCACACACTGTCACACACACACTCTCACCTCTCCCTCCCCTCCCCACTCTTGCTTTCCTCATTTGACCTAGAGGAGTTTGGTGTTTGCTCCCACACATTCTTCTCAGGGAAATACCATTCAGCCATGGTATGTTTTTACCACAATTTATTCATCCATTCCCTTAGTGACTTATTTTTGGTCCTTACCCAAAAATACAATATGCATTAGTAAACATATAATCTTAAGTACTGGCACTTTTTTTCCTTAGGGATAGATTCCCAGGAGATTCCTAGGTTGAAGAGAATATAAATATTAAAACACAAAGTCACATTGTTTTCCAAGGAGGCTGTAACAATTTACATTTCTAATAGCAGCGTCTGAAAATAGCTTTTTCCCCTGCTTCTTTGTGAGTAGGTAAGATGAAAACTTAGAAAAAAACTTACTGGGCTATGGATGTTCAGTTTAAATGTGTTCAGAATATCACTCGAATTCATATATTGTCACAGCACATCAATGACTTCCAAAAATAATTTTTAAAAGCACGTTTTTGGTTGCCATTTATAATTCCCAATACATGATGTGGGATTGATAGGGAAAGGCTGAACTTGAAAATCTGAAATCAAGTCTATAATAGCATTTGAGTTATACCAAAAAAAAAAAATTCTTGTTAATATATGGAGACCACTGAAAAATCTGACTATATAAAGAGTAAACATGTAACGGAAAGGTAATAACTTACACTAAGTCACGTTCCAATGGGAAATGTTTTAGGTTGGCAGTAGTGAAACCAAGAAAGAAGAAATGCCTCCTTTAAACAACAAAATGCTGTCAAAATTCATTTCTAAAGGGGGTTATACACATGAAAAATTTAAAAAGCAATGAAACAGTTGACGTTATTTAAAATAATTTTTCCTGTAAAGTCTCTGAAATATAACATTTGTGAACTATAGAAGCATCCTACCATTTTTGCTAGACGATTTATGTATTAAGGAAAGACAAAAACAGGTGGTCTCTGTTACGCAACGTTTTGGAAATAGACATGCAGCTGTATGCAGATATCCCACTGGAAAATAAAAGCGTGATGAATGGGAATATTGTCTTTACATGGCAAACTCTTACTCTGTGGTGCGTACTGAGTAGTACAGCCCACGTCTGCCTCCTTCATGCTATAGATCAATGATTTCACATGTGCATATTTGTGTAAATAATGCTTCTAGAAAATCTTCAGCAAACCCAAAGCAGGTAAAACTTCAACACTGTCTTCTGTTTCGTAAGAGGCAGCTCAAGAACAATGTTCATACCAATTTATATATGCCAGCAAGCAGTAGGGAAAGACAGAGGTTCCATGCCACTTTAAATCTGTTACGCATTTCATGTGGAATACATACTGGATTGTAGAAATACTGAAAAACACATGTGATGTTTAGTATGGAAAAATCTTGTTATGTCCTAATTACTGCAGAGGACAAGAATTTCAGATTCCCAGTGATTATGCTAAATTTACATGTGCAGATCTAAAACATACAACTTTTGTGGCATACCCACATATTACTACTAAATTCATAAGATACTGTTTGTTTGTATATCTCTTATGCTGCTGTCTACAATACTCAATTCATTCAAGATTTTAAAGAGCTCATTGTAGTACAACTGGGTATGGCTATTTACAACTGGATATATTCTGATACGTATTCTTCAAGCTGGGTATCACATATAACTTCCAGTATAATGTTCTCATGGGATCCTATTTTTTCATACATTTTTGAGTTGAGAGATTGCATCTCAGTATGAATTCCCATGTTCCCTCAATATTTTCATGAGGATTTTCACCCACGTGAAGAGTTCTGGCAGGAAGGTTTTCCACAGTACAACCTGGTTGGAATTTCAAGGTTTATCCCCGATGTGAACTCGCTGATGGACACTGAGTCGGGACTTCCTGCTAAAGGCTTTCCCACATTCAGAACACTCATATGGTTTCTCACCTGTGTGGATTCGCAAATGTAATCGAAGAGTTGACCTCTGGCTGAAAGTTTTGCCACATTCAGTACATTCGTAGGGCTTTTCTCCTGTATGAGTTCTCATGTGTATAATGAGTTGTGAGTTCTGGATAAAGGATTTTCCACATTCACTGCACTCATAGCGTTTCTCCCCTGTGTGAATCTTCTGATGTATGATAAGGTTTGACTTCTTGAAGAAGGTTTTTGCACATTCGTTACACTCATAGGGTCGCTCTCCTGTATGAATTCTCTGGTGTGTGGTAAGTTCAAACTTTTGGGCAAATGTCTTTCCACATTCACTGCATTCATAGGGCTTCTTCTCCATATGTGCTCTCTGATGTACAATGAGGTTTGACTGGTGGGTGAAAGCTTTTCCACATTCAGGACATTCAAAGGGTTTCTCCCCAGTGTGAATTCTCTGATGTTTGATGAGGTTGGCCTTATGGGAGAAGGTTTTCTTACATACATTACATTCATACGGTTTTTCTCCGGTATGTATTCTCTTATGACTAATGAGGAGTGACTTAAAGGAGAAAGCCTTGTCACAGTATGTACAAATGAAAGGTTGAACCAAATTTTTTATTTTCTGATGTTTAAAAATGGCTGATTTATGACTGAGGGCTTTTCCACTTTTATTGTATTCAGAATATCCTACTCCAGGGTGGGTTTTCTCTTGCTTCAGGTAGAGAAGTGCTTTTCCAAATTCATTACACTCATCAGTTTGCTTTCTTGCATAGCTTCTATTACTATTAAGCAAGTCTGAATTATATTTCAAGGTTTTTTCATATAAGTCATATTTATAGGGTACTTGTCTTAAAGAAACAAAGTCTGTGTTCAGATTAAGTGTTTTTCCAAAGAGATCACCTCTTTCCTCCATCGGGGTTTGGTTCTTAAGAATTATAAATTGCCTCGGCTGCTCGTCCGGGTTCCTGTGGTCTCTCTCCATCTGGTCATCAGCCTTCCACACCTCTAGGATAGAGCACAGTGAAAAGAACCTTGTGAACACCTCTGCTGTAATGTTACAGAATGGGAAGTCTTCACAGGTGTTCTATCACAGGGCTGACTCTTAAGTTTGGGACTGAGTCTCCCAAATATTAAAAAATTCCCAGGCTGGGTACAGTGGCTAACACCTATAATCCTAGGACTCTGGGAGGCTGAGGCAGGGGGATCACAAGGTCAGGACATAGAGACCATCCTGGCTAACATGGTAAACTCTCGTCTCTATTAAAAGTATAAAAATTAGCTGGGTGTTGTGGCACATGCCTATAGTCCCAGCTACTCGGTAGGCTGAGACAGGGGAGTCGCTTGAACCCAGGAGGGGGAGGTTGCAGTGAGCCAGGATTCTGCCACTGCACTCCAGCCTGGACAACAGAACAAGACTCTCTCAAAAAAATAAAAATTACCAGCGCAAATGTTTCCTTTCAACCTTGGAAAGAAAATAGCTTGTGGTTTAAAAACAAAACCAAACCAAATGAATACAAGTAGCAATGCAAGATGACAAAATAACCTTAAACTGGGTAGAGCAGGTGAAATAAGACAGAAGACAGAACACAAATAATATGAGAAGGCTGGCAATTCCAGGGATGGAGATTCACAGCACTCTAAAGACACGGTGCAGTTAGCACAGAGACCAATGAAGTAAGTAGATGAGGCAGTTAAGGGGAAATACCTGGGCAGATCTCTAGAGTAACAGTACGATTTGTTAAACTCAGGCTACCATGGTAGAACCAGCACCACTCTGCATGCTTCTAAGCTTTTCCCCCTTTTTTCTTCACCAAAATGATTTCCAGAAAGCAGCACTTCATAGGTTTGCAGTGACAACCATACAGCAGAGCTCTAAATCTCTAAGTCAGACTGTTGAAAATGGTTGGTAAAATCCAGAAATACATATTCTCTAAGAAATATACACCCCTTATAACAGATCATTGACTGTTGCTGGTTTTACTGCTTTTTTTCTACTGAAGTTGTTAGGACAGTGAACCTGTTTTCACCATCATATCCAACTTTTTTTCCATTCCTATTTATTTTTTGGGAGGGCCTCCCTCTGTTGCCCAGGCTAGAGTGCAGTGGCACAATCATAGCTCACTGCAGCCTTGCCCTCCTAGGCTCAAGGGATCCTCTCAACATTACAGGCATGAGCCACTAGGCCCAGCCTACTTTTAATGTGTTCAGAATCTTAAGGATCCAGTTACGCAGACTCATTAAAAAGTCATACAACAGATTTTGGCAAGGCTAAGATACACTGTTGGTTGGAATTTAAATTAATTCAACCACTTTGGAAAACAGTCAAGATTCTCAAAGAATTCAGAACTACCCTTTGCCCCAGCAATCCCATTACTGGCTATATATCCAAAAGAAAATCATCTAACCAGGAACAGGGTTCATGCCTGTAATCCCAGCACTTTGGGAGGCTAAGGCAGGAGGAACACTTGAGGTCAGGAGTTTTTGTTTTTCAGATGCACTCCAGCCTGGGCAACAGAGACTCCAAAGGCATGATCTTGGCTTACAGCAACCTCTGCCTCCTGGGTCGCTGGGATTACAGGCACATGCCACCATGCCTCGCTTATTTTGTATTTTCAGTAGAGATCGGGTTTCACCATGTTGGTTGTGCTGGTCTTGAACTCCTGACCTCAGGTGAGCCAGCCGCCTTGGCCTCCCAGAGGGCTATAATTATAAGTACAAGCCACCATGCCTGGCCTGAGGTCAGGAGTTCTACAGAGAACTTGTCTTTACAAAAGTAAAAAAATAATTAGCAGATCATGGTGGTGTGTGTCTGTGGTCTCAGGTACTCAAGGCTAACGTGGGAAGGGTTCAAGTATAAGAGGCAAATATCTGTAAGGTTAAACAGGAAAAAAAGGGACGCAGGGAGAAATGGATATTTGGAGGTATGATTCAGAGAGCTGAGGTACAGCATCTGTCCTCAGCTATGGTTAGGGGGTTAGGGATTTGAAAAATAGTTTCCTGAAAAGTATTTGAAAGGTACTGAGCTCATAATCCCCTGGATATTCATTCCCCTGGCTTCTGATTCTCACTTTCTCCTGTCGTATCTCCCCTAAAACGTTCTGAATTGACAACTCTATGCTACCCAAAACTCTTCTCATTGCTCCAACTTGAAAATCACATACGGCTTGACAGCAATTTACTAATGAGACATAGCTCCTAACTACCTAGACTTCAAAAGCTTTAAAAGAAAAGGAGATGGAGCTTCAAAGGCTGCACGATCTCGCAGGTTTAACACCTGAAGAGTTAGGCCAAAAACAGTAATTTGGAAGCTCATAATTTCTGGTCACTGAGATGGGACATTAACACCTCTAGGCAAACAGTGAGCTGTACCTGAAAACCGTCCTTACCCACTGAAAGTAAGTTGCTGTAATTCTCCAGCATCACATCCATGTATAGGATTCTCTGAGAGGGGTCCAGTTGCTCCCATTCCTCCTGGGTAAAGTCCACAGTCACATCCGTGAATGAAACTGATCCCTGAAAGGGCACATTGTTACTCATCCTAAGATGATCATTTGGTATAGAAAGAATAGATGAAAACTTTACAGGTCATTCACCATGAAAATTAACACCAACGATACATCTTGTTCACTGTTTTGTTCACTTCTTCCAAAATATATCTTTACAAACAGCTGAGATTCATTCAGATTCCCCTATGGCTCAGATTCCCCTATAGCTCTGGCACTGTCCTATTTGATAGGTATCTCAAAACACTGTTGGCCAGGTCAAGTAGCTCGTGCTTGTAACCCCAGCACTTTGGAAAGCTGAGGTGGGCAGATCACCTGAGGTCAGGAGTTCAAGACTACCTTGGCGAACGTGGTGAACTCCTGCCTCTACTAAAAATACAAAAATGTTGACAGGCATGATGGCATATGCCTGTAGTCCTAGTTACCTGGGGGACTGAGGCAGGACAACTGCTTCAACCCGGGAGGCAGAGGCTGCAGGGAGTCGAGACTGCACCACTGTACTCCAGTCTGTGCAATAGAGTAAAATTCTGTCTCAAAAAATAAATGGCTCTTTCTGCTCTCAAGGCGTGTACTGTGTGCCAAGCACATTAGATATTCAGTGTTACCAGTGTGGTGATAAAGCTCACATAGGCATTATTTCTGTGATATTGAAGAGTTAACTTTGCTTACTTAAAGGCAGAAAATAAACTTCGAATTATGAAATACCAGGTACAAGTAAGGATTTCTGTCCCTTCATCCCCCCTGCCCTTGAAGCCATAAAAGTGGTAGAAAAATTTTTTTAAAAAATATATGGTTGGATTCAGGACAGACACAGCTGAAGAAATGATTAGTCAAAAGATGTCAGCAAATGACTGCAATGCAGCATGTACATGAAAGAGCCTAAAAGAAAGATAAAGTAAAACGGTCTAATAAAATTGCAGCAGGAGTCCCAGGAGGAGGGGCAAAATGCAGTGGAAACAGTATTTGAAGAGATAATAGCTGAGAATTTCCCAACATAGCTCACACCAGGCTATAGTTTTAAACACCACCAACCCCAAGTACAATAAATGCATTAAAAAACAAAAAAACACTCCAGCATATAACAAAACTGATTTAAAACCTCAGAGGAGGCCAGGTCCAGTGGCTCATGCCTGTAATCCCAGCACTTTGGGAGGCCGAGGGGAGGCAGATTACCAGGTCAACATGGTAAAACCCCATGTCTCTACTAAAAATACAAAAAATTAGCTGGACGTAGCGGGTGGCTGTAATCCCACTACTTGGAATGCTGAGGCAGGAGAATTGCTTGAACCTGGGAGGTGGAGATTCCAGTGAGCTGAGATCGCCCCACTGCACTCTAGCCCAGGCAACAGCAAGACTCTGTCTTGAAAAAAAGAGGTATTGCCTTCAGAGGCACAAAAAACCTGACAGCTGATTTCTCAACATAGACAATTAAACAATGGAGATCAGAAGACAAATCTTCAAAGCACTAAAAATAGCTAGAATGAGTTGACAAACTTTTTCTATAAAGGGTCAAGTAAATAATTTTTTTTTTTTTTTTCAGGCTACATGTAGTCTCTGCTAAAACCAACTTGGCTGTGATACCACAAAAACAAGCACAGGCAACAGGTCAACAAATAGGCGTGGCTGCGTTCCAATAAAATTTGATTTATGGAAACTAAAATTTGAGTTTCATATTTTCACAGCATAACAGACTCTTGGTATTTCCCCCCCAACCATTAAAACCTGTTCTTAGCTTGTGGATCATAGAAAAATAAGGTGGCAGCCCATTTGGACAGTGTGCCAGAGTTTGATACCCCGATCTAGAACAACGACTAGTACATAGTAGATGTCATGCGTTAGGCATTGTTAATACTATTAAAAGATGTACCAAACCCAAAATTAAGCCCAGCAAGAATCAGATGTGCAACAAGAGCAATGGCAAACCAGAAAATCATTAAAACTATGCAAATACGGAAAGGAAGTATGAAACTAATTTTTGGGTGTCATCAACTTAGAAGTTGTGGCAGGAAGAAGACACCTTGTTTGGAAGAAATATTCTGATTAAATTTGTTTAAATAGGCAAGTACTGAAAAAGTAATACCTTGAAAACGGTGGAAATGTATAAATTATGACAGACTAGCAGAGAAGGAGAAGCAGATAAAATCAGTAATCAAAATTAACATGGGGTAACTGTTAAAAGACTAAGATCTTCAGAGTTTTAAAAACCTATATATAATTTTTACAAGAGACAAACTTTAAAAACAATACAAACTTCAACAACCCAGCTATAATATAAATAAAATAACAACGCCTGAAAACGCCACAGAAAGCTATCACAGGAGCGTCAGTAATTAAACAGAATTCAAAAAGAATGCACATAACATAACCCCAAATTCCACATAATCCTGTTCATGTATATTAAAAAACATACTGGTTATCTCTACGAGAGAAAGACGGGCTTTAACGATAAAGAAAATTTTGAGTCACAGTGCTGGTGCTGTGTCTAATGCCTATAATCCCAGCACTTTGGGAGGCTGAGGCAGGAGAACTGCTTGAGCCCAGGAGTTTGAGACCAGCCTAGGCAACATGGTGAGACCCTCTCTCTACAACAACAAAAACCTCGGTAGTGCTTGTGAGGCACACCCATAGGCCCAGCTACGTGGGAGGTTGAGGTAGGAAGACAGCTTGGGCCTGGAAGGTCTAGGCTACAGTGAGCAGTTATCATGTCAATGCACTTCAGCCTTGGTGACACAGCAAGACCCTCTTTCAACAAAAAGGCCAGTGAGGTGGCTCACATCTGTAATCCCAACACTTTAGAGGCTGAGGTGGGTGGATCACCCAAGGTCAGGAGTTTGAGACTGGCCTGGCCAACGTGGAGAAACACAGTCTCTACTAAAATACAAAATCAGCTGGGCATGGTGGTACCCACGTGTAGTCCCACCTACTAGAGAGGTTGAGGCAGTAGAATCGCTTGAACCCAGGAGACAAAGGTTGAAGTAAGTGAGAGAGATTGTGCCACTACACTACTACAAGCCAGCCTGGAGACAGAGCAAGACTCTGTCTCAAAAAAAAAAAAAAAAAGCATGCTGGGGATGGCAGATCCTCATATGATACAAATAGAGTAAGAAACAAAATTAATGTATGAATTTTGTAACATAAAAAATATTACATTTTAATACATTTAAAATGTAGTAAGTAATATAAATTTTAAAACCATGGCCATATAAAAGAATGAAAGTGTATCCTTTACAGCAACTTGGATGCAGGTGGAGGGCATTATCCCAAGTGAATTAACAGGAAGAGAAATCCAAATAGCACATATCCTCACTTCTAAGTGGGAGCTAATCTCTGAGTACTCATGGACGTAAAGATGGTAACAGCAGACACTGGGGTCTACTGGTAGGGAAAGGAGGGGACAAAGGCAGAAACTATCGGGTACTATCCTCACTATATGGTGACAGGATCAAACATAACCCAAATGTTAGCATCATGAAAAACATCTATGTAACCAATCTGCACATGTACCCCAAATTTAAACTAAGTTGAAATTACATTTTAAAAAAATCTTCAATATACCGAACGTGGAAGCAAATACATCAAAATGTTAAGTACTGACTAGACAGCAAAATAGGTTGATAATTAGGTTGAACCACACTTGCACCAGATGCAGTGGCTCACGCCTGTAATCAAAGCACATTGGGAGCCAAAGCAGGTAGATCACTTAAGGTCAGGAGTTTAAGATCAGCCTGGGCAACAGGGCAAGACCCCATCTCTAAAAAAAAAAAAAAAAAAAAAAAAAAACAAAAATACAAAAAAGCACAGTGGCTTACACCTGTATTCCCAGCACTTTGGGAGCCCGAGGTGGGTGGATCATGAGATAAGGAGTTCGAGACCAGCTTGGCCAAAATGGTGAAACCCACGTCTCTACTAAAAATACAAAAAATTAGCTGGGCGTGGTGGCGTGTGCCTGTAGTACCAGCTGCTCGGGAGGCTTGAATTGCAGAATTGCTTGAATCCAGGAGGCAGAGGTTGCAGTGAGACAAGATTGCACCCCTGCACTCCAGCCTGGGGGACAGAGCAAGACTCCATCTCAAAATAAAAACAACTTAGCCAGGCACCTGTAGTCCCAGCTACATGGGCGACTGAGGTGGGAGGATTGCTTCAGCCAAGGAGGTCCAGGCTGCAGTGAGCTGACGTTGCACTGCACCACTGCACTCCAGCCTGGGTAACAAAGTGAGACCCTATCTCAAAAAAAAAAGTTGAACCCTATTGAAGTTACTTTAAATTGTTTTAATACACAAAAATATTTCATAAAGTTTAACCTAATATGCTTTATTTGTATTTCTGTGAAATAAATCTTATAATCTACCAGGCAAAATGGAAGAAAAAAATTCCTAAGGAAATTTCAGAACACTGTGTGCAAAGAGAAAGCCTGTGAGTTTCAGGAGACCACAGGTTGTAAGTAAGTAGACTGAAAGCCTTCAGACCTGTTGACTACACCAGAAAGCTATCTTCAGAATTGTCAGAGAGGCAAACAAAACTGGAAAAAATAAGATAATTAATTGCAAGCACAGGAGAGCAATCACTGTAGGGCTACAATTACTCAAAGGCATGTCTATGAGGGGAGCCCCGCATTTACAATGATGCTGAACCATGGCACAGAAAACCAAAAGCCCAAGCAGAAATGAGTGTTGTTGGCCAGGCAGGGTGGCTCACACGTGTAAGCCCAGCATTTTGAGGGGCCCAGCCGGGTGGTGGCGGGGGGAAGGGGGATCACTTGCAGCCAGGAGTTTGAGACCAGCCTGACCAACCTGGAGAAATAGAAAAATTAGCTGAGTGTGGTGGCAGACTAATTTTTATTTAATTAAGTAAATTAATTAAAAACTGGTGTTTGGGTCTGTAAAACAACTGGGATCTGGGGGCAATGCTATGATTTGAATATTTTTGTCCCTTCTAACAATTGACGTTGCAACTTAACCCCCAGTTAAGTATTGGGAGGTGTGGCCTTTGAGAGGTGATTGAGCCATGGAG